AAACGAAAAGTTCTGTTAAATTATCAAACTGGTCACACCTTCAATAGCGTTAGTTCATCAACTACTCTCTGTGAAGGATTTTTACTTGGGTACCAATTGTTTTTTCGTCGTCTCACATTTGAATTTCGAAGTTGGAAAAAAATCGACCCGGTTCTGCATCAGTTTGTCACGCCTTGAAGGTGCAACACGCATACACATTTAAACTGTCTATAAACGCCTATAGTTTGCCAGAACCCTCACTCTGTATCACTCCGGTTACTCTATATTAGACAGTTCACTACCTCATTAAATCGCAACCACTGTTTTCACAATGGGACTGAAGTGAAATGTGGTAACCCTAGCCTACGAGATAATGCCAACCATGGAGCCACGCGTTGCGGTTCCTGGACAACCGTGGTTAATCAATCTTGTCAGATGACGGCATCCAAGCACCTACGAGTTACTGTTTCTGGACAACGAACCACAGGCAAATCTTGCCGACCAATCGGAAGTCTTGCGGTTCAGGCAGAAGCTGCATGACGTCAAGAATACAAGCATGCGATTGGTGGATACCTGAATAACCAATAAAGCTCCTTTGTACAGGTTATATAATCCCATTGGTTTCTTTTAATAAACTAACTGCTACTTCTGTGGCCTTTCTCCTGCACCTCGGTGACGAGAGACTCCGGCATACAAGTACCAGTGCGGTTCAGTGTTTCGGTCGCACCCGTGATTCGTAATCTGTGCCTTCTTCGACTACTCCATGAAGCTCAGTCTTTTAGATGATATTCGTAGCTAGGATGAAGTATGTGAACAAAGCATTTATCTCTTAGACTTATTCGAAGTGGAGATAGCTCCAAGGAATCAGCAGTTTAATATTTATAGGATTTCGCTTCTGCTTGGGACTTCGATTGAAATTCTCTGAACGATATGCAGATAACGCATTAACGAAGAGCTTCTCCAAACCTTCAGGACATTCATTATTTAATGAATGGATGAGTTGAGATGATGGATGAGTTGCTGAATGTAATAAGATCGCTCAGTGGAGTTTCGCAGACTATATAGACACAGTGGCCAAATTTTTCATCTAGTAATGGTTCTTTTGTAAATTAACTTTCTATCTATATCCATATGAGACAAATGAAACACTTCCCTCCTTAATGTTTTGAACAATGGCGAAAGAAAAAAGTGAGCACCACGATGAAGAAGATTCTGAACAGTTCAACGAACACTCGTCGCTTTTTACATTTTCAGATTCGTGCTTTATATTATAGTACTGGGTTTTTGGATCCTGCGATTCTGAAGTGTTTCTGCTGGGTACAGAGGGAGGATCGTTTCATCGATCAAAGTTGCGGTAGAAATGTGAACCGCGAATATGGAAAACATGCAAACTGTGCACTGTGATCCTCTGTGGGATCAAATTATTCGTTGCATTTCCATTAAGTAACGGCCCCACGATCGGCTTTCGAAACCCCTAGGATGCATGAATAACAGGCGGGTGGACTTGTCAGAAAATCGGAATAAATTAACAGTAAGATCAATGAAAACTGTGATCAACTTTCCATTCTGACGGATGATAATGAATTTTCATCGACAATTCTTCGAGTCTAAAATTTTCAGCGATTTCGTTCTGACGTAGGCATTACCCGTCAATCGCCAAAATAATAATCTACCGAGGGCGGTGTTAACGTCACCAAATTATCACCCCTGGGATGTGTGTTCGAATCCCACCAACACCGCCTGACTTTCCCCATTGTGTGTTGAATGGCAGCCCTTTGATTGGCCGCTTCCCCCTTCCTGAGAATTGTACCATTGCATATTCAATAAAAGGAAGTAAAAGAAAAAGAAAAAGATAAGTTAAGGAGAAATAAATAGTAGAACCAGTAGCAATAAATATAATCTGCAAAGACAACTAACTAATCAATCCAGTGACAATACAAGATAAAGCTTTTGCCCGTATCACAGTATACCACATAGTAGACCATAATCATACCATGAGAATACAAAAATGGAAAAATAATCCCACCACAAATCGAACGGTTAACTGTATGCTGACACCTACCTCGGTCAGTATGTAACCCTCATTTGGAAGCGGTTGACCTGACCCTTCGTATGGCCTCATGAATTATCTGGAAGATGATACGAAGATCAGGATTTTGGTGATACAAGCAGTCAATGGAAGTAAGATAGTATCTAGCCTGAAATTTCTTGTTACCTAAAGTGGGGATACTAATCGTGTCACATGAAACTGCAAACGCCAAACTAGTCTCTAAAGAGCGTCACGTTCCCTGGAAGGGACATGTATATTTATTTTGATAGTTGTAGTGGTAGATTAGGCTAAGCGACAGAAGTTTGCGGAAGTTCTGGGTAATTTAGATCTGTGTCGAATCATCAATAGACTTTTTACAAATGAGATCTCTGACGTAACTTAATCCTTGAAATACGATGGAAACCTGAAACCATTGCCACATGTTGGCCTCTGGAATGATTCAGTTTGAAATGAGTTTGAACAGCACTGTTAACGGAACTGAAGTTTATCGCAACCTGCTGCGTTTACGACCCTTTTTCATGAATCGTATTTCTAACAGTTTTCTACTCTTAAAAGCCTCCCTCCCTCCTTCCCGTAAAACAACACCAAATCAAACGAATAAACTGCTCGTTTAAAAGTTCCTTTTCCAAATGATGTAATTGATTATCCGCCGTATCGAAAACAAACAGCAAGAAATATTCAAAAGAGTGATTTGGAAGCTTTGAAGGAAACATGGATAGGAAGCGAACATCAATTGGGATAGAACTCTTTTTTGACAGGTTTATTCTCATGTCAGCACCACATTCTCACCAGATGCATGAGGTATGACTGGCTTTATTCAGGCTTTATTCCGCATTTCAAGTAAGCTTCCGAAATCGATTTTTGAGGCATGAAAACCTCATATAGGAAATTTGGGCATGGCAAATCGTTCTCGCTCACTGCAAATAAACTTTTTACACGCAATAAATACCTACTAATGATGGTGACTATTGAACAGGAACATCTTCGCTGTCATAAGATAATTTTGTATTACCTACATTACCTTATGAAGGAAGACAGATTTTAGTATAAATAAGAGTACTCATAATTCTTCTTAGTAAAAGGATCAGCCTGCTGATAAGATGTTTAACTCCATTGCTAGATCATCAAATTTACCAAACTTACTAACCACTAACCAATGCAGAGAATGAAAGATAATTGAAATATCACTCTACTCGAAGAAGTGTTTTGAAAAAAATAAAAATTGATCAAAGGACAAAAAGTATCGTAAATAAAGAAATGAAATTAATTTACGGATCAGTAGGTTTATCTACCAAATTATTCTATTTTACCCTAAACAACAGCAATCGCTGATGAGGAAAGAAAACCGCATTGAATTCACGACTCCTGAGGGGGACGAGGCCGATCGATTAAGAGCTTCAAACGCAAACAGGTAAAAAGTCAGAATAAGGGTTTCAATCTCTATACACCATTGTGTAGTGGAAGTAAAATATCCCACAATAATCATGGTTGTACATTGTGCTTCAGTAGTCAAATTGTCTATATCTCGGAATGCTTGAAGGAAATCCGGATGAGATAGTTTTATATGATATGATCGTTTGAATAAATAAAGTGGTCCTTGAATTCAAAAGATTATACATGTTTGTTGCTTCAATCTAACGAGCCTTGGACGTGATAAACATTTTAATTTCTTGCGGGAATGCAGTAATGATTTATACGTATTGGACTCCAGGGATTGATCCATGTGATTGTTGAATTCACTCTTTCCATTGTTCATTTCATTATATTAAAAAAAACATGTAAATGAATCAACATTCGAATAGTTTGTTTCAGTCAACATGACATATTGATGACAACCTATGAATCAACTTTTAAGGTCTCTATTCAATATCCCTAATTTGAGGATAGACGGATTGTTTGATTGTATGACGAAGTGTGAACTGCAAATATAGGAAGCGCTGGATAGCTGTTTCATTAGCACTGCTAATCCATTGACCCATTTATGGGATATCTGTGAGCTCTTTTATCTACCGGGAAGCATTGATGTGTGCCAAAAATAGGAAAATCGGATAATAGCAGCAAAGCAGAGAATTGACAACTTCAGTGATGATAGACGACATGAAAGACAGCATGTGGCCTTCGTAAGATCTCTGCCGCACAAAACTGTAAGTCCATTAGAGTCTGTCATCAAGATTTTTTTACCAAACATCCATGTGATGAACAGCAACCGGGATGAACCGCATAGTCACGAAGACCTGCTATTTAGTGATGGAACCCGGTTACCTTAGCCCCGGAACCTAGAGTGGTGAACGATGCAAAGCCCCCCTAGATTAGGTCTGGTATTAAACCAGACAACAGCAAGACTGCCTACCACCAAAGTTAGGTGGCGGGGCTCGAACCTCAGACCATAGGGTCCAAAGCAGGTCGATGACAGAGATGAAACCACCACTCAAATGAGGTGGATTTGTGCGTGATGGGAAAGTGTGATCACATACCTAAGAACTGGGGATGAATTTAACTGACGGTAAGGATAAGCATATATATGAACTTAGACATGTGTCCCACGTTACAGACCAAGAGCGCCTTGTGAGTCACAATAAGGGAGTCTAAGGCTTTCCAGCAGGTTATGAAATGGCTAGCCTTGCACGATTTTTACCTCGATACCATGGGGATAACGAAGTTCTCAAAAATACTCAAACCATAGTAGTAGGCTTTGAGACGAAAACTGACCTAAGTCTAACTCCACGACTTTCGCGCTACCTTCACTTCGGCAAGCTAGCCGTCACTCGGGTAGATAAGGCAATTCATTGGAATGCAAGTGTGATGTGAATATAGGGAAACCTTTCCACCTAAGATACAATGATAAGAGTTAGAAGAAAAAATCCTCCACGGAAGATGTTAAACTGTCGGTTTCAGCACGTAAAGATTATCCTGGTGCTCAGCATATTCTCTGCATTATATTATTAAGGATGTCTTGTTCAGGCAACTTTGGCTACAGTCTGCTTGAGAATTCTCGGAAGATGTTGTTTAAGTCACTTTGAACGCTTTGCAAGAACGACTGATTAGGAGAATAACGAAATGAAAACATTTTTTTTCGAATGCGATAACTCATCTACGAAATATTTAATTGATCTTCATTTTGCACAACTATCTCCTGCTTGAGGCTCGGTCAACTCTAAGGTTTTTCTATGACGTCAGCCACCCACGTACAGCGAATAGCACGTAGATCAGGGAAATAGCATTGTTGTTAGTGGTATATGCTACACTTGGTTCCAAGCCATGGATACTAGCACACTAATTACGTGAATCATCCTGCATAATAGTCCCCGAATATGCCTTCATCGGTCATAAGTTTTACCATTTTCGAAAACAATAGCCCTGGATTAGTCTTTACCGTCTGACGAAATGGGTCTGTTTTTGTCGCGACGAATAAAATTCGAAGCAAAGAATATTCTTTTGGTCGTCGACTGTAGTGAGCACAACATCCAGGCATTTTAACGAGATACTTTCGCTGCGGATCGCGTGTGCCTATGGTTTACTGTCAATCTCCGCAAGGTCGCATGTTAGTCTGATCAGATAAATTCCCTGAACTGAACTGAAGCACATTGTACAACATTGACCTGGAGAGCTAAGTGCATAGCAAAATATGTAGGATGTGCTTTAGGGGATCCAAAAATCCTAGACGGGAAGCTTTATAAAGAACGACTGAAGGAACCCGACTTACTCGAAAAACGTTTGCCGGTGAGTCTGTCCCATCAACAGTAATCACAAATTCCTTCGGATATTGTTGAATGAATTCGGCGATTTGCGGTTGCACATAGTCCTGGTAGAATCGATTCTGAAGATTTACATTCTCAGTCAGCTCTTCGTATCTTGTGATAAGACGTTCCGGTTGTTTCGCTGTAGGTGTGGGAAACCTCGGATGTGCTTGTGAACCACTGCGGGTATCGGCTGTAACATTTGATGCATAGAGTGCACCATCAGCGATATCCATTCGCATTGCTTCCCATCTTTGGCGTAAATCATTTTCGGGAATCTAGAAGCATACACAAGATGTATTCCAGTAAATTTTGTTCTACCCACAATATTTCTACAGCTCTTTGGAAATACAGTTAGACAAGTAGATATGGCACAATTATAAAACATTGTGTCAACCGTTGTGGATAAGCCAAGGAAGAATTGAGTTGGATAGAACGACTTGTTTTCCTTTCCTTGCCTTGGTCAGTATTTTTCGTCTGCTCCGAACAGATCATTATAATGACGAGATAAAGTCGGTCAATTTGTTAGCCTAACCGCGGTCGCCCACTGGAGCAAATGGTCGACCTTTATAGCTTGCGTTGGTTAGGGCATGTGCTACGCATGTCACCAAATAGGTTGCCACGGCGAGCGATGTTCGCCGAGGTAGGTAGTGGCTAGAAAAAAGCCAAAGGTAGTCAACCTAAGACCTGGCTCGAGGGCATGAAATCCGTAACCAGGATACTGGGTCACATAGTTCCCGTTAGGCTCCCTGGCTGGGGACCTCAGGATGATTGTAACCGATGGTTAGAGACACTGAGTGATATGACTGAGTGTTGCAAATAGTGGCGTTCGTGCACCTTCTGAATTTATTTGCAATCTTAGACCACTGAAATGCTTAAAAGACAGCAAGCAAAACCGCCGCACGAAGGTGCATGGTTAATAGTTGTGCTACACAAAATTCCGCATCTTGTGGTCTGATTTTGGAAATTAATAAAATCAAGAATTGCCTAACAGTAAAAATGCATTAGGAGTTGGAAAACAGTTCCTGATCCTCAGCTAATCTGGGCATCGACGTTCGCCCTGAGTAAGTCGGAGTTTACTATACCAGAGTGAGGGCAGTTCTGCGGCAAAATACGTTTCCATGAGTAATCGCTCGATTTTGGGATCTTTGAAAAGAATTCGAGAAGTTTTGACATGAATCACAAACGGAACGATAGGAAACAGCCGCTCGAACTTTCACTTTCTCGACCTTATCAAGCATGATGGTCAGACTACCGATCGCTACGGAAAGCTTTCATTAGTTAAAAGGAACTGGCGATAATATGAAATCATCGAAACGAGAAGTCCAGTTTTCTATCCAGAAGATCATAGTGCTGTGAAAATATTCGCATTTGAAGCACCGCAGACTATACAAATAATTGGAAGCAGAGTTTTCTTGAGACGAATTTGAATAGAGAAGATAAATGTATCCGGAATCAATTTGCTGCATCTGCACATATGCATACTTCAGGTTCTTCTATTTATTATATATTATTTTAAGTTACAAAATCACATTACGAGAAAGATTGCGATTACAAAATCAGGCTTCTAAAATATACCGAGACACCAACCATTCAAAGTCACCATCCTCAAGTGTGTAAAGTGCATGAATGGCTTATCACTCTGATTCTACCTTGGTAACAATAGTGTTTGCTGAGGGATGTTGATCACAGTCAGTCTCTGCCTATGATTCTGCAATCTCGGAAGACAGTTTATTGATCACATAAATTGCGATACCCACGTGTACAGTCAGCAGCAGCGAAAATGACGCAGGATACGTTTTAAACACTTGTTTTCGGTATCACTATGTGTACACAGATAATGCTGATAACTATCTGGATAAAAAATGCCGGACTAGTGAATATTTACCTGTATTAGTCAAAACTTGTGTTACTTAGTCCCTAACCAAGTATTAAATGAATAAATTCAATCGCCTTCTTCACAATTGATCCTGGAAAGGCGGTAAAACACAAACTCCAAAGTTATTTGTACCATGGTCGTATTGATGCCCAACAAATTCATTACAATAGGCCTTGAAACGAGTAAATGTGAATAAGGTTCCGAGTTTCGTATATACTTGTATGGTTAAACAAAAATGAGGGAAATGTTTCAAGAACTCGGATGGTTGCTATGATCAGGATATTGGGACAATGATTTTTCATAACATCGAAAATAGATTGTTTTATGAATCCAATAATTGTATCAATTTCGTGAAACAAGCGAAACGGTGCTTTCAATTGGAATTGATCAAAAAGAAGGTTAAGAGAGCATGTGTGTGTGCGAATTAGTTTGACTGGTCACCTTGGTAAACGCAGAATGGGATTAGCATAAGTCTACACTGTATTGCAGTGTCAAACCATTACAGCGACTCTCCCCAGGGATGCACAGTTCATTGGTGTTAGCATGATAGAACACCTGTTAAAAACTTACATTTATTTGGATAATGAATTCTGGTCGAAATGGTAGGCCGTTGAGCATTTCTAATTGTCTGCCAATGGATAATCCTTTCTCGCTTGATGTGGGGAAATCGTCCAACACATAACCCATTTCGTTGCATTCGTCTGAAATGAGCTTATTGTGAATCATATGCAACACGAGATCATCGGGCAAATCTTTTCCAGATCGTAGGATATTGGAAAACTGATCACCCAAAGCAGTGCGATTGTTCAGATGTTGCGTAATCAATTCACTGGCTACACCATGCAGTAGGAAGTGGTACAACAAAAAAGAAGTAAAGTGCACAGTTAAGTTTGTTTATTAAAACCATAACAATCAACGTTGGGCGGCGGTGGTCAAATGTCTAAGTTTGTCTTTATACCGACCACGCAATCTGGAGATTGAATATCACCGTCAGTGCCCAACATTTCGATGCTATCAGTTTCAGTTTTCATATGTTCCTAGGTATTGTCCAAATATCTTCAGCCCATCTCTTCCTGAGTAGTTGTTTACCTAGTTGTATACTCAATTAAATTACAAACGTCATTGGATAAACAATATAAAACTGTGATTTTAAGTATTTCATACCAATCATAGAAGACAGAGCTCAGGTCTAACCCAGAACTCACACCAGTAGTTTCAATTCACACTGGTGTACCACTAAGCAATCGTCTAGTACACCCAATCAATATGATATTCATATCACATCGACTCATATACAGCTTCTTGAATTATTTAACAACGTTGTACCCCTGGAGTGCATGGAAATTTACAGTCTTTTTCTTTTTTCTCCGAAAGCCAACTGCATTACACATAACGGACAGAACCCGGGAGCTTTAGCTCCCCAAAACGATGCGTACCACTTGTGGCACCATCATGAAATTATCATTTGTATTTGTATTACTTTTGCAAGCTTAATATGCTTACATTTCAATTAAAAATTGTACACTGGTCGTCGCACCGGACAAAATAGAGAAATATAGACAAATCCAATAGAGTACTGTGAAGATTGATGCAATTCATTTATAACTCGCTTCTTGTTGGTCAAGATTCAAGACAGATATGGCACAGGGGAGTTCCTATAAATTTTTATTCGAGAGGGTAGATACTGGTAAGAGGGAAGGGTGATCTCGTGGGGTCGAAAATAAGATAAGTCAAGATGCGAAGGGTGGGAGGGGTTGTTAAGAATCTTATTTGCAAAAGTCAGAAGAGACATTATATGACCATGAATAAGTTTTGTGATGAATGACACGGCAGAAATTAAATATACACAACTTATTAGCATCAATCCATCCAGGATTGTTTCAACAGACCGGCAAATACACCGGAGCCAAAAAGTTAAATTAGGGAGAACGCATTGTTTAACCAAAGAGAACAATACTTGTTGGGGAGTGCGAAATTGTCTGAGCTTTCGGAGCTGAAAGGAGAGGCGCCGAAGTTTTCCCATACAGATCTGAATGTCAAGTATAGAGCTGCTTCTGGTAGGTGAATGAGACGAATCGGATAAGCCAAAAGAAAGCAAAATGGAAATGCATGCATGCTTGAAGTCACCAACAGCCAGATGAGGATTCTCATCTAATATTGGAATCAACTCTCCTGGACACGTTAGGCATCAGCGTTGCAAAAATCAACGCTAACTAAATTGAAATAGAACTGAGTTTCCAAATGCTGAAACACTTTCAAACATATCGGTTTGCTGTGTCATCAAATGTATAGTTAGGTTCGATATCACGGTGATGCAGTTCCAGTTTGAAACACTCTGCACTATCATCTGCGTGTTTTCGTTGTTGTCTTTTGGCTACCCATGTGTCTGGTCAATATAAATAGGGTATTGATTGATTTGAATGACTATCCCTCGGACTTCAACTTCACGCACAATCCTCAATTCATCGATTCAACCATACAATCGGAAGCACTAGACTCGAGTTTCGCTCTTATTAGAGCTCAGCAGTAGTGCAATATCCACCGTCCCATCCGGGATTTGAACTCCGGACCCATCACATGGAAGGCGTGTGTTACCACTGTGAATCGATGAACTGAGGATTAGGCGTGAAGGTGAAGTTCGGAGGGTAGTCAATCAAATAAATCAATATCAATTATCCTATACACACACCACTCACAAGTAATTGTGAGTCAAAGAAATAAGGTAATTCGAGGAAGTAAAAAGTTGATCGCAATTTAAGGTAATGCAATCTCCTCCCATAAAAGATTTTATCATTTTTGACAGTGCACCACTTTTAGTATTAAATTATCAGAATTCGTCCCAGAAAAATGAGAAGAGTTTGAGGTGCATTTTTGTTTAAAGACCGATTGCACCGGGAATTTGGAACGTGAATATCCTTCGTGTGAGTCATTTTCAACTGTGTGCCAGCCTAGATGCAACAGTAGGCCATAGACGAAAATCATGTACAACTAGACGTTTCTACATGAACTGCATCATCACATATAACGGGAACAGACTAATTTGTCCTAGAAAAAGGGAATAAACAAGCACTTACCGTTGACCAGCACGCAACCCCATTCCTTGCAAAGTCTTTTGGCCAACGTGGTTTTACCAGAACAAGAATTGCCCACAATCATGACTCGGGGTACGTCCTGCTGCCAAATCATACGATTTCGGCCGAAACCAGCCTGGGAAACACAGAAAGGCGGTTAGAGGTATCACCCAGCCCACAGTGATACAGAAACACGGGTGGTAAATATGCAACTTAAAGGGATGCCTTTTTTCATTAACCGCTCACTTAAACATACAGCAGCGAGTCGTGAGGATAGTTGAGTGTTTGTACGAATCTAAACTATTTGTGTCGTGGTGTTCAACCCGATGGTAGATATGCTGATTTGGAGGATCTAG